TTGAACTGAGATGGATATTTTTCACTGTATTCAATCTTTTTCTCTATTTCCTGCATATATAATGTGGAATGCAAACTTTTGTCTTGACTGAGAGGTGCAAGCTGTATGAGACACATGATTCACCATTGTGGGGAAAGGAGATGAGCTTGGTTATCACGTAATCAGAAGTTTGAAACTCAACACTTCTCATTCAGTTCTAGTACTGAATGCCGACTCTGCTCTGGTATGTGAAATGGTGTTTGATACTGTTTGGAGCATTATAGAGGTATGTAATTTTTTTTTTTTACAATGAAAGATTTACCAGAGTCTGACTGCCAGCACATACGCACATACAACAATGCTATATATTGATTACAGAAATAATATGTAATTGAAGAGGAGTTTCAACTGGGTCCATAATTCTCTATCTTCTAAAAAAATGGATCTGATGCAAATATGATACCATGTTCATATTGGCCACTTTCTGGGTTCATGGACATTATTTTCTTTCTTCATATTTATTTAAAGAGTAAGTACATCACTATGATGTAAATTTGCTGACACATTGTTTTTTGTAAAATTTTCAAAAATTTACTATAAGTTCTTTAGGAATAGTAACCCCTGAGTAGATACTCATGAGAAAACTAAGACACAAGATCTTTTGGGGCTGTGTTTGAGAGAGTTCTTGAATGTACTAATTGGTCCTTCAGTGGAATGCCATTACTTGGATATCTAGTTCTATCTTAACAGGCTTATCAGATTTTTCTGGGGCAGAATAACTTCAGTGTTAAGTCAGGCTCTGAGGAAGGCTTTTGTACCTGCAGGGACTACTATAGAGTAGATTATAATAGGCTTCCATTAAAAGCCTTTCCCATTTACTGGGTGAAGAGGAGGTTAAGGGGTGGTGCTCATTCCTTGTTACAGAAAGTTAGGTCAATTTATGATGTACTGAAAAGGATAATTTCTCATTATAAAAGGATAATGACTCATTATCCTAATCATTGTCTATCATGAGATTTCCCAAAGTATGTTCTCAAAGGCACTAACTCTGTGGAAACAAAAACAAACCCAAACCCAAAACTAAAGGCTTCCATAGTCAAATACATTTAGGAAATAATTAGATTAAACAGTATAAACAGCTGTCTTTATCTCATCCAAGAACCGACACAGGAGGATTCTTTTCCAAATTTATTTGTGTTTTAAAAATGTATTTGATCACAATAGTATCTTCTCACTCTTTTGAGAAAACAGGCTCTAACAAGATTATCTCTGATTTTTAAAATCCTTGAGCAGCCACAAAGCAAGCTGATTTTTCTAAAGTCATGCCTTTTCTATATGTGGGCTTTTTTTTTGCAGGGTGGGGGGCGGTAATTAGATTTAGTTATCTATTTTTTTCCTTGGAAGTACAGGGGATTGAACCCAGGACCTTGTGCATGCTAGGCATGGGCTCTACCACTGAGCTATACCCTCCCCCCATGCCTTTTCTAAAAAGGTACACACTCCTTACCTAACAATTCACTGGCTCTCAAAGGCTGCTCTGTTATCTCCAATTTCTCACTAGCTGTTTCTGGATGCTAAGATAGAAAAGAAATGCCTCCTATTTCTTTCTTCTCCTCTCTTCCCTCTAATTGTTAAAAATGTAGAGACAGTTTATATAACTTGGCTTTCCTCTGCATATATTGCTGGGGGTATTCAAAAACATTCCTTAGTACCTTGTGAGGTACTTTAAACACTTAAAAACACACAAGGCCACCTAACAGGACTCCTTTAGTAATCTTTTTATAAGCTAAAGAGTCCTTTCAAAATGTGAATGATTCCTCAATAGAACAGACTAGAAAGTCCAGTTCATGGAAAAGAGATGTTGAATAAACTGTGGAGAAAGCCAAGAAGAAATTCAGAAAAAAATAAAGTTGAGTCTACAACTCACACCAGACCCAAAACAAATTCCAGATGAATCAGAGTTTTAACATGAAAAATAAAGTAGTGAAAAAGACTAAAAAAGAAAAGAAGAAAGCATTCCTGTGGCCTGAGCTGACCTAATACATGTTAAGCTTTGTCCTTGTAAGTGACAGGTCACAATGAAATTGCGGAAACTTTGGTAGGAAAAGCAGGATCCAACTCTTCCCCTGAGGCTGGGAAATGGTTTGGTTAGGCAGAAGAGAAAAAAGCTAAAAGATGTTTGATATTTACATTTTGTCATGATAATAAGGAGCTATCGAGTTAATAATGTAATTAAATGTGGCATATTTGGGTGACAGAGTCCTGATGGAGGCTAAAGGGAGAAATGTTTGGATATATAAGGTGGGACCAGGTTTTAGAGGATTTCAGATGTCCAGATGAAGAGCTTAGCCTTGGCTCTTTTTTTGTTGGGGCACCCCTGGGGGTTGATTGGCTAGGGTGCAGGCATTCTCAACCTCAGGGCTATTGACATGTTCAACCAGTTAATTTTTTGTTCTGGGCACTGGGCCTGTGCATCATCAGATGTTTAACAGCATCCCTGGCCTCTGCCTGCTAGATACTAGTAGCATCTACTCCTTTTCAAATTGTGACAACCAAAAATGTCTCCAGATATTACCAAATGTCTCCTGTGAGGAACAAATTACCCCTGACTGAGAAGCACTGACCTCCAGAGTGAGAGAATAATTGGTGTTTACAAAGGGCTGTCCAGGAGGTTGACAGGACAGGAGCCTGAGCAAATGTATTAGAAGCTAGGTATGGTAAATTGTTACAGTAAGGGTATCCAATAGAGTACATCTCCCTGTATCCAACCTTGTATAATCCCCTCCCCCAATGACTTTGGGCTTGGCCATGTGACTTGCTTTGATCATTGGAGCATCAACAAACATGACACAAGCTGAGGCTGGAAGAGCATTTGTGCATAGGGACTTACTCTCTTGGAACACTGCCACTACGTGACAAAGCCAGTACATGTCCAGCTAACAGCCAGGACCAACTTCCAGACATATAAGTGAGGCACTCTAAGACCATGCAGCCACAATAAAGCTACCATGACTATATGATCTCAGGCAAGCCAGCAGGAAAACCACCTACCTGATTGACGGCAATGAAATTATGCAAATAAAATGGCTGCTGTTATAAATCACTAGGTGTTTGTTGCATTGTGGTAAGTGCAATGAAAGGTTATAGGAGGTCTGGAGTAAATTAAAGTCAGTGGAAATGAGAAGATGTGTACACACAAGACATTTGAAATAATCCAGGTTTCTTGATTCTTCATGAAGAGGCTTATCAAAGAATATAAGAATTTAGAGTTGAGTGCAAAGTTTAGAGGGAGTTAAGCTGCATGAACAGTCTTCAAGAAAGCACTTCTGCCTAAGCAGTGAAAAATATTAGCTAATCTACTTTGAAAAATACAGATGTTTCTTAATTGCTGACAGAATAATGATAATAATACTTCAAAGATTCAGCTTAATAAGTACACTTGTAAAGCTTTAAAGGCATTACCAAGCTAGCCACTTTTTACTTTAAATGGAAAAATCAATCTTTAAAATAAACAGGAAATCACATAAACCCAAGATCAATAACAATTTATATTGCACTAATAAAAAATTCATTTCGTTGTATAGAACTATCTACTTGTACAGAACTATATTCATTTAGCAATTAAATTGCTAAGACCGGGGCCTCTCAATAGACTGCCTGTCGTAATTTACCAGTTAAATTTACAGATGGCGATTATCAGTGGTATTTACAGCTCGATGGGGGCTGAGAGTGTTGCCCTTATTTATTGTACTATTCAAGAAGAAACAGTTTCTCAGATGTTTAGCACTTAGCTTTCTGTTTAAGAACACCAGCTTGAGGAAATGTCAGTCAAATCCTCTATTTTTATTATATTAAAAACGAAGTAATAAGCAATAAAGAGAATCCAGAATGAGAATAAATGGAATAGAGAGCCATAACTGAAAGAAATGGAACCATACAAAAGCCTAAAAAGTGGAGGGAACTGATGTGAGTAAAGTAAAAATCACCCATATGCATTTTCACAGGCTATGAGGATCCAAAGGGAACATAGACATAAGTCAAAGGCAGAGTGAGGGTCTCTTGAAAATAAGACAAGATTAAAAAAAAATTAAAATGGATGAATTTTAAAGATCATATACCCATTATGCAGCCAGTACTAAAGCATTGTTGAAATAAGTGAGATCAAAGGGTAACACATGTATAATTTCCATAAGATTTGTTTAAAGAAAAAAAAAACTACCTCAGTCCTTGTTTAAAATTGCTGCCTGCCAAGGATGTTGGTTAATTTTTCTCGCAGGTTGAGGAGACAAGAACTGAGAAAATTATTTGGATTTGAAGATCTGGAAAATCTATGTGATTGCTAATGAGCATTAACTAGTTGGACCTAATGTTGGACGAACATGAAGCAAAATCAGAATGGGGTATTGTGCTAAATCTTGTACTTTGGTCTGTGAGAAAAGTTTACCATTTTCCTCAATCAGAAAAGAATAAAATACACATAACTAAACAGTTTGGAATCCTACCCCCACCTTCCTTTTCCCCTTTTCCCAACTCCTAGGGCCCCAAACCCAGGCTCCAGAGCCCTGCACGGAAAGCACAGCGGGGCTCTGGGACGCGTGGGAAACCGAGCAGGGCGCTCCTCCCAGGCTGGACGGATTCCGGCCCCGCTGGAAGGTGCTCGCGGCCGCTTGGGGCGCTGAATCGCCGGCGGCCGCTGCTGCACGGTGCGCGCGGCCTGAGACTGCCAAGGCAACCG